ATGATGAATGTGTCTACACCTCATGGGCTCTTTGCCTTGTGGGGATTAAATGAGTTAATCTATGAAGAGTACATGGAGCTGTGCCAGACAGGGAAGGCCTCTACTAAAGCTAATGACCATCATCAATGTCACTACCAACTTTTGGGTACCCTGGAGAATTCTGAGGGCTGAAGGTCAATGTTGGAAGGATCTCAGGTGCTGAGACATCCCATGCATGAAGCCTAACTTGGGCTTCAGATCTCAACTGATCTCTACTTGCTCTTCCTCATGTGTCCTACCTATCATTATCCTACCAGAAGCCTCATCTCCCACCACTCCTCTCCAGCAAAAAGGTCCCAACTCTGTGGTTTTGCTCAAGCTCTTCCCTTTGCCTGAACTGCCAGACCCGGCTCTCCTCACACCACCCACCCCAGTCAGATCACTCAAATTGGAAGCCATTGTTCCCTTCTCTGAACTCCTGGAGATTCACTTGCTCATCTTAACTCACCAACCACTGACCTCCAGGTCCATGCCTGTCTCACTGTTTCATGGACATTCCTGGAGGACAGTGGTGACGTCTATCTGGGTTACTTGATCTGGTCTCCAACACAACCTGGCCTAGAGCCTTTGTGATGACCAGCTGTATTATAGAGGGTCCAGTGATTACCTGTTCCAGCATTATGCTGCTTCTGCAAGTGTGCCACCTACTCTAGGTGGCCTACCTACAGGGCCAGAGGAATCAATAACACAGAATACCATGGGAAGGACCAAACAGGCCCTTTGCCTCCCAATAACAACAATCTTACACACATGTGCAAAATCTGTTTCCCATGTGGACTTCTATCAGCATTGTGTGCCCTATCCTACAATGAGAGCCCTATGACCTTCAATAGGCCAAGCACCCTGGCCTGCCCAGGAACCCATGTTGGTCTGATCAGGGTCCAGCACCCTTCCCTCTAAATCAGCAGGTCTCCATGCATCTGGGGTCTTAAGCCTGGGATGGAGACCAGGCAGGAGAGACATAATGGGCTGCGAGCAGGAGGCTTGGCCTGGGGATACCAAATACATAGACACTGGGCAGGAGGGAAATCCAGAAATGCTCTGGTTCTGTCTTTTTATATACAAGGAAGCTGAGGCCTAGATGGGAAACAATGCATAAAAAAGGCCAAGACCAGAATCTGACCTCAAGGGACAAGCCAAGAAAGTTGAAAAGGTGAAACAGGACTGAACAGTTAGGACTGGCCAGGCTGGCACTGAGAAAGAAACTGCTGGCCCCATGCCCTCCTATGCACTGTTGGTCTCAGGTGCTGCCATCATTGGGTGGGTCCTGAGTGGCTAATGACAATCACTGTGCTTGAACCAATCATTGTATCCTGGGAGATCACAGTTAATGCAGACCTCAGAGGGTGCTTCAGCCAACCACCCATCTGAGACTTAACTACTATTCATGTCATCATCCAGTGCTGGCTGTCTTGCCTCTGCTTGGATACCTCTAGGGATGGGCAGCTCACTGCTATACAAGATAGCTTCCCATTTAATTAGTGGGTTAAAAATAATCTCAAAGGGATTATGGCTTTTCTGAGCTTCAGTTTCCCTATTTATAACAAGGAAAGCTTGGACTGGGTCATTAGTCCAACTAGGTTCTCCCTGATGGAAAGAGGCATAGTTCCCAGACCCTCTCCACCTAGCTATAACCCACAAAAGCACTCTGCCACTTTCTGCATGGGGCTGAGGGACACAGAGGACCTCAGTTAACCACAGTCCAGGTTGCCTGTGCTAGGGAATCTGAAATCAGGCTGCAGTGCACCAGGGCTGGATAGGCCTTGGAGAGAACACCATGCCTGATGGTTAAAAGCAAGGCCAGGGAAGTCAGCCTCACAGTTGACTAGCTGAGTTACCTTGGCTAATTAATCTCTCTGTGCCTTAGTTTCTTCATTGCTAAACATTCCCCAAAGGGTATTGGTTGGGTGAGGATTTAGTGAGAGTTCACATTGAGTGCTATAAACTAGTATTAGAGAACTTACCAGCTGCCTTTATTGTTATCATCACTGACCCATCAGAGTATGCAGCTAAGGTTAAATAACTAGTTAGCAGCCAAAAGCGGCTAGAAGTATTATTGACTGCCTGCTCTGAGGCCACTGCTTCACGGGGAAACTGAGGCCTGGGGTCATTTAGGTGGCAACTGGCCATCCAGATCTGCTTGACTCTGGCCTGGGCTCCTGCCCAACAATGCCATCTCAGGCACAGAGTGGGCACAGCCTTCTTGTCAGTGTTAGATGCCACCCTGCACCCAGAAGTTGCATGTACACAAACACACAACGTAACATCATCTAAACAAGGGTCACTGAGAAAGGTTTTTCCTGCACCACCTCCACTCCACTGATGTCACCAGCATCACCCTCTATTCTCCCTCTTTCTCCCCTACGACGACCTTCACTTTAGCTCAGCAAGCTGCCTGAAGCATTCAAACATTGACGGCTCATCCTAGCCCATCCAGCTCCAGCTATCTACCATTGTAGTGACGTTATACACAAAGAATGACATACAAAGAATTTTGAGTCACAGGGAGCTGCAGCAAGATCATTACAACCAGAAAATGACCCGTTTGATCACCTACAGCTTTAAAAATAAAAAAATGTGGGTAAACGTGGGCATAGCCTCCAAGCCAGGAAGCAGACAGAGAGTAGCAAATACTAGAATGCTTCTTTGGAGAGAGAAGGCATCAAGTCTTAACAAGCTGCTTGTTATATCAAACTACCCTACCTTGGACCTGGCCCCTGTGGAGTGTGCCTTCATTAAAAAGCCAAAGTCCCTCAGGACAATTCCACCCAGCTAAACAGCAGCTACTGAACTTTGAGTTCCACGATAGCAGCCCGGAGAGCTCTGGCTCTACTCCAAAGGTGCCAGGCAAGGGCAGACCTTTCACAGAGTCTAGGCTCTCAGCAGATGTCCCCTTCCCACCTCTTCTGTTCCTGAGTCTGGACTCCTGCAATGATGTCCTGCCTATGACTGGGCAGGACCTCCAGACCCTGCCCCCACATCTGCACTCAGAATGAGCCATTTACTTCTAAATGAGATGCCAGGAAGGGGCTTATCTCCTCAGTTTCTCTCACCTGTAAAATGGCACATCTTCTCTGAAGGGACGTCGAGGGGGCTTAACAAGTGTGTATGTCAAAGTGCCTAGCATAGCCTAGACTCTGGCAGAGGCTTCAGTCTTGGGTGCTACCCTTGCCTCAGTGTACAACACACATGCCACGCTTAGTTCACCCCAAAGTCTTCCCTGCAAAGTACAGGCCACATTTGCATTCTGCCACTAACTCACTGCACATCGTTTGGTTACACCTTTCTCCCTCCTTACCCTCAGTTTCCCCATCTGTAAAACAAGGCTGTTAGGTTTAGATGACTTCAAAGATCCCCCTCTGTTCTGACATTCCGAATATGTCCCTAAGTCACTCCTACAACCACTAGTCCTTTGAGCCTCGGTCAATACCTGCTGAGTTCAGGACTGGCTGTGCCACAGGAAGTGCAGGCCCCAGCTCCCAGTGCCAGCTCAGGGGCTCCCAGAGAGTGGGTGGCACACCAAGCCCAGTGGAGGTACAGGATGTGATAGTTCGGGCTACTGCAGAGCCCTGACACACCTGTCCGTGGTAAAGACTCCACCAGCCAGAGGGACAGCGGGATGCCCTCCCTGGGGACCCTGGCCCCAAACACTTGCTCAGCTCTCTGCCTCTTGCTGCCCATGCAGGCTGCTTTGCCAGGTAACATGAGAAGGGTGAGGGTGAACATGACGGATGGCCCTCCAACAGTCTGGCCTATGCTGTCTGGTCAATTGCTCACTGCCTTGCCCTTTGCAAAGTGGCCAAGTGTCCTAGAGGCTACATTGCTAGCCACAGAACTGCTTTCCATGAACAGCCCTACAAGGCAGAGAGTACTAGGGCCAAGCCTGGACTCACATATCCAGATCCTTCAACCAGTGACCTACACGGTATCTGCAATCCCGTAAACTAAGGCTCAGCACAGGCCCATGTGCTCCGTAAAGGCCACCTCCTCTTCTTCCCTGTTTCAAAGGAATCAAGAGAAAAGTACTCAAGGACATAAACACTAAACAAACAAATAATGTGGGGGGCCACAGAAAGAGAAATCTATTTTCCAAATCCCCAGATATACAGGGCACCGATTCCATAGGCCTCAAAATCTGGGCAGCTCCCAACCTGCTCCTGGCCACCCTCCGGCACCCGCTGTACAATGTGCCCCACTATGTTCCCACCTGGACGGGTCGGAGGAGCCAACCGCACAGCTGCTGTCTGTCTCTGAACCATAATCTCCAGCCAACAGAGCCCACACAAGGGGCTTCTCTTCTGCCTATGACCTTCCCACCACCCTGCCCATGTCTACTCAAGATTGCTGGTGTCTGATGACTGTTCATTCCTTATTATTCTGGCTAAACAGGCACCCAGGGTGCTGCATACCTGACCACATTCTCCTGGGCCTCCCACAAGTGCTCTGACAAGGTTTTACCATTACAGGCCAACAGGTAACAGCCTCAGGGTTTGGAAAATCTCCTCATTTCCTATAAACCTGCTTCCTGCCCCAAAACAAAGATCTCTGGATATGTGGCCAAGGATAATTTTACTGATCTGCCTCCTTCTGTGATGAAATCGAAGTGACCTAGCCTGTTAACTTTTTTGCCCTAGCTGCTAGGAAGCTCCAAGTTTTATGCTGCAAATGCTCTTATCTTTTCCAGTCAGAAATTTCTAATAGTAGTTTTCTCTCCTCTTCTCCCCATTTACTTCTTGGCCTCTACCTTGAATGTGGCACCTTGTACTCTAGAAGAATATTACTGAGCCCTCCCAGTGCTTTTCTAGCGTGGTGAAATATAGGCAGGTAAACTATGAGGAAGATTTAATATGGCACTGCCCCCAAACAGAGCCCAGAAAGCACAAGCCATCCCCTGCTGAGGCTGGCTGGGGACCACTCACCCTGCCACTGCATCAGGAGCCCCTGTCTGCAGCTCTGCTTACCTGCCATGATCCTCTGGGCCTCGTAGGGCTCCATGTAGCCAGCACTCTCCCCCTTTCCTCCTTTGTTCTTGAGGTCATTCTTGGCATCAAAGGGGTCTGAATAGTCATCAGCTATGGTCACCTGCAGGGAGGAAGATGGCAGGGTATGTGAGACCACCTGTGGCTTTTTTGTTTCACAGCAAGGCTTTAAGCAAAGCCTCAGCTCAGTGAGCAGCTGAGGAGGAGGAGGGGAGCCAGGAACCAGGGGTGGAGACAGTTGCCCTCAGGGAACCAAGGAAGGGGACTCACATACTGGCAGGGCTGCAGTACGAGGCAGGGTCTGAGGCCCTGCAAGCAACCTGGCTGCTCCAGGCACAGTGAGGGGAGGACAGAAGGGGACCTGGCTGGACGCAACACACTCTAAGCACAGAGGCAGGAACCCGGAGGGCATCTTTCTGGAATGTGGCTTGCTTGGTTCATGGGATGAAGTGGAGGGAAGTGGGAACCGCGACTGCAGAAAGCCTAGAAATGCTGAGGTGCCCCTGTGCTGGCTGAGGCACAGTTTGTCTAGAGACAATTAGCTTGGCGTTCTATTTCCCCAAACCTGGAACACAATCACCCCTTGGGTAATCAGAAAACAATTTGGTGAGATCAACATGCTATGAGGATGCCTGTGGCCCCAGATAGGCCAAATGAGAACACAAAAGTAGCTCAGGGACAGACAGACTGCTAGGGCCAGAAAGGGCTTTAGAAGCAACTTTGTCCAACACCTTGGGAAACTGAGGCCCAGAGAGGGCAGGGGCCCTACCCGGCTCCTGCACCTCCAGCTCTCCCCACTCATCAGTATTCCAGAGCCTGCCCTACCTCCTCCCTGAGAAAAGTTCCACAACTAATGAAGACTGAGTCACTAGGGGGTGGGTGGGGCTCGGGAGTGGGGAAATCCTATGAGAACATCTGGGATTCCACCATCTTAGAGACAAAGTTCCACAGTTTCCAGGGAGAAGAGTAAAAATTCTCAGTTGGAGGCTATGAGCAAAAAAGGCCATGGTTCCTCCCATCTCTTACTTCCTAATCTGTGTAAGGGGCACACTTACCAGAGGGAAAAGATGAGAACCCCCACCCCCACCCCAGACCTATGCCCCTACCACATACCCTGGCTTCACTATAAATGCACCAGGCAACTTTCCCCTAGCCCACTTTGGTCAAGCATCTGGCAAAAGTCAAGTACGCAGTCCCCAACCTGGGCCACCCAGCTTCCTCTCCTGGGAGGAGGACAGGTAAGCAAGAGCATTTCTCTCAACCCTTGGGGGTGGCATGAATTGTCATTTAAATTGTGGGTTTAATTAGAAACCACAGGAGCCTCCTGACTCCCTCCCAGCTCCTGGAATGCAAGGCATTTAAGGGGCCTGCAAACCTCTGGGGAAGAGAAAATACTCTTTGTCTGCCTTGTAAATGGCAGGCTTCCCGGCAGGGTTAGCAGTGACCGCCAGCTGCCTGGGACTCCTGTGGAGGGCAGCCGGTGGCAACTCTGTTGTCCTGCACATGGCTGCGGCCCAATGGGAGGTACAGCACAAGGTCAGCACTGCTCTCCAAACCAGAGCAGCCTATCTGTGAGAGACTTGAGGCTGAAGGGTCCAGCTTCAGGGTATCTGTGTTCCTGCTGCCATTACCCCACGGCTGTGGGTCAGGCTTTGCATCCCAGTGGGACCCACCTCCAGATGCTGACATTGTAATGGCAGACTTTCTTGAGACTCATAGAGCTCAAATGACACCAGGCCAGCGAAAGAAAGAGGTGGGAAAGAGCAAGGTCTCTTGTTTGATTTTCTACTCTACCATTTGTAGAATACATTAAGGAAAAAATTATACACATGAACCACTGTCAAACAGAACAGTTCAGACGCTGGTCAGGTGCAAGGTTCTATGTTTAGAGTTCAAGGGACCAGACATCCAAATGAAGAAAAACAATGTAGTTGCTGTGTATGACATCCAATCTCATTCCTCCCGTCCCAGACGTCCTTGCTGTCTCTTTTCAATATGAACATCTTCCATAGATTCTGCAATGAGGAAGGCAAGAAATATTTCCCTGAGAAAAACATCAGGTTTGGGGATTCGCTGGGGGGCAGAGAGGGCTGGGAGGGGGGAAGTTGAGCTGCAGTCTCCACAGTAATCCAGAAATCAGCATTCCAGCTCTTCTTGGAAGTACCCTGTAATTTGTGAACACAGAGGCTCTTAGGATATAAACTAAATCTTTGTTCACCCTAGGATGGGAGCTCTGGAGGCCTGAGATTCAGCAGGAGCTATCTATATTTTCTAATTAAAATGAGATCTGAGCTCGGGCTGTCACAGGGCCCCCAGCTGCCTACACTGCTTACTTCCGTTTCAGTAAGAATTTACAAATCCTAAAACCAGGAAAAGCCCCTGGTCTCTGCTGACATATGGTTCCATTTATACCTGCTGACAGTTGAAAATCCTTCCGTTTAAAAGAAAAAAAAGTTTAGCATTCTGTTAGTTTAAGAAGCTAATCAGAAAAAGCTCCTCAAATGTACTATTTAATCAATTTGCTTTCCAATTTCAAAGTGAGGTTGGTGGAGGGAAGGGAATTTGAGGTTTGAGCAACCCGAAACTCAGCAAACACTACATTTAACCATCTGACCTTACGCAAAATCATGTCCTACTTTTGGGAATAAAAATTTAACCAGGTGTTAGGAGAACTGAGCGGGCCAGAGTTGACCAGAGCACCACATGAAATACCACAGGCTTCAGCCATCAGGATCGCGCAGTGTGACCACTGTTCAAGCTGCCCAGGGCTCAGTGTAAGTTAAGATGGCCAGGCAGGAGGTTTGTGTGAAGGTTGCTGCTCTTCTAAGTTAAAAGGAAGGTAATGAGTTGTCCCCAGACGTGGGCTTGGATTCCCGGTGGGATTGTTTTAGCTTTGCTTTAAAATGTGCAGCAGTTACTAGAACTCTGGGAGGCTAAGGCAGGTATATTGATTGAGCTTAGGAATTCAAGACCAGCCCCTGTCTTTACTAAATATAGAAAAATTAGCTGGGCATTGTGATGGGCACCTGTAGTTCCAGCTACTTAGGAGGCTATGGCAAAAGGATCACCTGAGCCCAAGAGTTTGAAGTTGCTGTGAGCTATAATGCTTCAGTACTCTACCCAGGGTGACAGTGAGACTCTGTCTTAAGGGGGAAAAAAAAGCCCCAGGTGGTAGACAAATCCTACATATCTAATAATTCAACTACAAGGAAGCCAGGTGGGACTTCTCTGCAGGCAAAGCTACCTGGGCACACAGGAAGCTTTCCTTTGATTTTGGTCTCAGACTGGCAGAGACCCCAGGAGCCACACAGGGCAGAGAGCCACTGGTCCTACCAGTCCACTAAAGAGCTGACTAGAAGCAGAAAGACAGGCTATTGGGACGCTTGCCCTCCTGGAAGGGACGATACACCCCATGTAAGTCCTTTTCCTACTTTCACACAAAATGACAAGACCCTAGGTCATCAGACTAGGGGACAAGTGCAGATCCCTCTTCTGGGATCTTCTGGGGGGACAGAGGGATTGGGATGGTTAGGGGGAGCCAAAGAGACTTATTTCCCTGTAACATTAAAACACTTTTAAACAAGGAGAACCTATTCATGTGCTATACGCAAAAGAAAACTTGTTCAGAACCATTCCTTGTCCACAGGCTGTTTAGGGTATAGTAGACAGTTTCTCAAACTTGCTTGAAAATAGGAATGGTGGCTCGGCGCCTATAGCTCAACCGGCTAAGGCGCCAGCCACATACACCTAAGGTGGCGGGTTCGAATCCCCTGCCCAGACCCGCCAAACAACAATGACGGCTGCAACCAAAAAATAGCCGGGCGTTGTGGCGGGCGCCTGTGGTCCCAGCTACTTGGGAGGCGGAGGCAGGAGACTCGCTTGAGCCCAGGAGTTGGAGGTTGCTGTGAGCTGTAATGCCACGGCACTCTGCCCAGGGGGATAGCTTGAGGCCCTGTTTCAAAAAAAAAAAAAAAAAAAAAAAAAAAAAAGAAAAGAAAATAGGAATGGCCCAGAATACTTGTTAAGAAAACACATTCCTAGCCCCAATATTCTATATATTTAATAATCAACCCAGATGATTCTTAATAAGGAAAGTTTGGGAAACTTGTCAGCTAGAGCCAGCCCCCTTCCCCACCAGTCAAAAGGCATGCCTCCAGATATTACTCAAGGAGTTTCACTTTCCCCAGATAATTTTCAGCCCTGCTCATGAAAGTGAAGCAAGAAGTCTGTATTAACAGCTCTCTTGCTTTCTTCCCTGAAGGTTAGCGGGTCAAGGCATGACCCAACATGCCTTGGTCCAACTCCAGAACCTCAGACACAGAAGTAATGGCACCCTCTGTGCAACCCTGTAGGATGGCTCCAGATTGAGTACCTTGGCCTGGGCAGGTAGAGAGGGGTACCCCTGCTCAGCCCCTACCACCTGCCCTGAGGACCTGGAAGCCTCTTTGTCCTAAACCCCAGTCGCTGAGCCCAAGTCCACCTTCCTCTAAACAAACGCTCCAGAAAGATCACCCAGCTGCAGGTACCGCCAAGAGGAGCCACTGCACAAGTGCATGGGGAGTACCTGCTGAACTCTCCCTCCTGCCTGCTGACTCTGCTCTAACCTGCTATAAAGGAGGGACGAGACAGGCGGAGCAGTGCAGCTTCCAGAAGTGGCTGGCCCACACTGTCCCTGCTGCTCCATGGGTACTCCCCCAAGCCACATGGTCACCTCCACATGCCCTGCCATTTGTGGGAATGGTCAGAGCTAAGCTGCCCTGCTCGGCCACGGGCTTGTGAGGCAGGAAGTCCCTGTACTGCTCTTCTCTCCCTGAAAGTGTGAGGGCTGCACCCCACGAAGCCCTGAATTCTTGTCAGGCCCATGACTTCTTTCTGTTCTACTTCAAAGCAAACTGCACACAAACGCACTTGAGAATGTTCCCAATGGTCCCAGTGAGACCATTTCCTTATTGATTCACCATTAAGACTATACATTAGTTTTCTTAACAGTACTGGAGCCGTGAATCTCTTTGGAAATCTGCTATCTGATAAAGTTGGTACTACTCCATCACTTTTATGTATATGGTGTTGAGCACCTCAGAGGAAGGTCATGAACCCCCAGTG